CTGACAATGAACTTGTTTGCATTTCACTACTTTTGATTTCCCCTGACAGCCTGTGGTAGAAGTGCAAACAAGTGGGGGCCTGTGGGTGGGGGGGCGGGAAGCAGGAAAAAAAGTGAAGGGAGAGCCACGAAAGGCTTGGGAACTCTCCCAAGTGAGTCAATAGTCCTTGAATGAGTGAGCGGTCACTTTGACATGAAGTCTGTTGAGGGAGAGGAATGAAACTGAAAATCAAAATGAACATGAGTTATTAATTAATATTAATTCTGTGTTTCAGGATTTTCACATCCTCAGGGTGTGAGGGAGATCGTAATGGCCTACGCGCTCACGATATCGACACACAAGTATACTCACGCTCGGGAGAGCCCTCCCAGATTCCCTTTCAGGAATGAAGGATCTCTTCCCCCAGCCGCTGGAAGTCTCACCAGCTGCCAGCTCTCTTCTGGAAATAACACAGCTGAAGGGAGCTGCTTTGCCCAAGGTCACGGCCCCTTCCCAAGGCTGGCTGCATACCCAACACGATACAGGGCAAACCTTGCAAGAGGCAGAGAGAGAGAAGACAGGTCAGAAATGACCTTTGCTTGCTGACTGGCAGTGGCTGTGAGGTGGGTGGTATGTTCCACAGACCTTCCAGGGATAGGATGGGGGGGTAGGGCATGGGTAGCAACGGGAGAGGCCACCAAGCCAAAGGCTGATGATCTGCTGGAGAACATCCCCAGTGAAGCCAGGGCAGGGCAGTGGACCAGGCATGCCATTTTCCCCTAGTGCCCGGAGGCAGGTGAGACCTAGAGCATGTGACCCCAGGGAGGGTCAGGAGCAGGAACACCCCGAATTAACTAAGATGACTCCAAATTGGCAGAGAAACCTTGAACTGACAGAGAAACGACTTAATTGCCTAAGAAATCACTGATTTATTTTCGCACACCTGTGGCTACGAACTTCATACTTGCTACTTGGTGTTGGCCGTTTGGATGATGCCTTAATTGCTTTCCATTGCTAGAGTGCAAGTGTACGAGGGCATGCTTGCCGAACTGGGGGCCAAGACTGGCAGAGGCTGGCATACGGAGAGCCTGCTTCCTCCTGGGGTGGAAGTCAAGTCATGTTCACTGCCGGGAATCTGACACAGCTCTGTAAGCAACCCAACAAAATTCTCTTTGCAAGGGTGCAGCTGCCAGGGAGATGCCCTGTTCAAATGTCCCTGCAGGAGAACCTTCTGCAGAGAGCGCAGCTGACCGACAGCCTCCAGGTACTGCAGGCCATACTTCTGCCAGATGCCCAGAGGGGTATGAGAGCCAGGCCATTCCCTCCCTCTAGGGGAGTCCCCATCTGGGCAGCCCTGGCTCAGCTGGGACCCACAGGACTGCTCTGAGATATGAGGCCCCTCGAGCACTTCTTCCCTCACTCCCCTCACAGGTGTCATGCCTGTATTGCCAGATGAAGCCCCCCCCACCTATTCTTGTTCCTCCCCTCCATCATAAGTGTTTCCTCCAATTAATCTTTTGCATGTTTTAATCCAGACTTGGCACCTGCTTCTCAGAAGACCTTAACTGACATGAAGGAGAAGGAAGAAATTCTCTGGAAATAGCTATATAAGGAAATAAGAAATGACATGACTATTTTGATCCAGGAACAAGACCTTGCTAGAGAGAAGAAGGGATTCTGAGTGTAGCATGTTATCCCTTATTTGAATCCATCCCTGGCCAAGTTCGCTGAACTCCTGTCTGGGCTCTGAGGTTAGAGAATATTGACACAAAATATTTTCATTAAACCTGGGGGGCCCTCTGCCAGAGTATAACCCAGTGGGGAAGGGGAGTCATTCTCCCCAACACTGACCATGAACCCAGCTTAGATCCCTAAGATCTCTAGATGTTCCCAGTGGAGATCCATCCCCCAGGCCTGCGGCCTCCATGCTAGAAAGGCAGCCAGGCCACAGGAAGTACAAATCAACTGAACACTTGTTTGTTTGTTGTTTCATTTCTCTAACTATGTCCCTCCAACTTCAAAATTTCATGATTCTATTCAGTAGAGGCCTCGCCACTCTGACCTAACTGCAAAGTCCTTGATATCAGGAATTATGTATGTGTTTCATTCTAGACCTTTATTTCATTTAACTCGTACAGCCCCATGCCCATGGGTATTATAGAAATATTGTTTAATATTTTATTTTATTTATTATTATTTATTTATTTTATTTATTAATTAATTTATTAATTATTATTTTTATTATTTTATTTAATTTTATTTTAATAATTTATTATTGCCTTCCTAATAGTGAGGGCTGTGTTTGCAATGACCGTGATCATCACATTCAGAGATTTAGATAGAAACTGTTTCTTCTAAAGACTAATTTATTGAGTGATAGGGACAGGCCAGGTGTGGGAATAACGACACAGATGAGTAAGAACTGATCCCTGCCATGAGCTTGGAGCCTGATGGGAAGACAGACACGAATCAAGAGGTCTGATACAATCAGACAGGAGCGACAGCAGGGCTGGGACCAGAGTACTTTGATGGCACAGGAGGGAGAATGACTAGTTTATCTTGAAGTGCTCAGGAAGGCTTTGGAGAGAAGCAATAATTGAACTGGATCTTAAAGGCTGAGTAGGTGTTTGCCAACTGTCTCCGTCCCTTCGGGCTGCTATAATAAAATACCACAAACTGGGTGGCTTAAACGGCAGACATTTATTTCAGGAGGCTGGGAAGTCCCAGATCAAGGTGCCAGCTGATTCGGTTCTTGATGAGGCCTCTTTTCCTGGCTTGCAGACAGCTGCCTTCTTGACGCATGCTCTGTGGCCTCTCCTCAGTGCATGCAGGTAGAAGGATTTATCTGTCTTCTTCTTCTTATAAGGCCACTGGACCCTCAACACCTCATCGAACCCTAATCACCTCCCAAAGGCTCCGCCTTCAAATACCATCACATTGGGGATTAGGGCTTCAACGCATGAATTTTTTGTGCAGGGAGATACAAATATTTAGCCCATAGCCCATAACACTAGCTGACAACAAGGTGTGAGGGGAAGATATCCAAGAAAAGGAGAGAAAGATTCTACAAAAGCAGTGAGTGATTCTTTTCCAGAGTGTGCTGGAGCACAGAGGCTTAGGGAAAGGTCATGGTTAACAAAGCAGCTTAGCCCTAGATTTTTAAGGCCCTTGAACACTGTCCTGAGGGATCTTGACTCTTGGAGGTAATGGAGAGCCCTCTGGTTTTTTGTTGTATTTTGTATATTAATTATCAAAGCATCCCTGCTTTGTTAAATACAGAAATCTCAATTATTGGCTTTTTGCATACCTTACCCTTATTCACTCAAAGACTCCAATTTATAGAGATGGCCGATCATCCTCTGACTTTTGACTTAGAGATGAAATCACCAGTTTGTTCCTCTTAAAAAAAAATATTATGTGGAACAGATTTTTTCTTTCTGAGAATAAAGGTCGGGTTTTTTTCCCCCAAGGTTACAAAGAGCCTTTTATTTAAATCGTGTGTGTTTTCTTAGTTTCCCGGGCCTCACATCTAGGGAATAAGAACAGTTTCACAAGAATCGAAACAAAACACTATTTCCTTTGTTCTGCTTCCCCTTACCTAGGGCGGGGCAGGAACCCAGGGCCCTCAGAGTATTCCCGAACAGCTTGCAAGCCCCCGGAGGGGATCTGCATGTGCTCGGAGCCCTGCCTCCTCAGCTCAGCCCCTGTGCCTGGTCCCTGCTCGGAATGACTGTGTGAGACGCCCTGCTTCGCAGCAGTCAGCTCCGCTACCGACCGCACGCTGCGCACCACGGAAACCTTAGAGGGTGCTTCGGAGCGGTGATTTGCAATCGGAGCCCCCAGTCCTAGAAAGGGATCTGGCCAGGGACAGGGAAAGGGTTGCCGGCAGTGGGGGCAATGTGTGACCACCAGGGTTTTGGTCCGCACCCCGAGGCCGCGCGTTAACCAATGCAGGGAAAAGCAGACCGATTGATCCGGGATTGAGGTGGGGGGGGTGAGCCCCGCTGGACCGGGGAGGAGGGGCTTCGCGGTGCCGCGTGCAGAGGTCTCAGCCAAAGCCTCAGGCGTGAGAGGACGAGAGGGAAGCCGGAGGGCTGTGTGTGGATGGCAAGGAGAGTGTGCGAGCCTGGAGTTGAAGAACTGGTTGGGTGAGAAGAGGGAGTGGGGCGTGGGGGAGGGGCACGGGGTCAGAGGTCCAATGTGTCATTGTTTGGATGCCCCGGATCAGAGAGGAGAATTGCACAGAGGAAGTAAGGAGGTTTTCAGATGAAAAGTCAGCAGGGGCCCGTACGCAACTTTTTATCCCCTGAGAAATGTTTGCTCTTGGAGGTGTGCTCTAGAAAATGACAGCTAGCCTCTTAGGGCTGAGGCTGAGCCCTGGCTCATCTGAGACCTTGGAATCCATATGGCCAAACCAACGTCTTCTCTGCAATGCTGTTACTGAAAAGCAAAGCCAAAGCCTCTTCCTGATGTTCCAACCAGGGCTTCCTCTGGATGGGCTCCCAGCTCTGCAGGGACGCTGCCGCCGGGCCAGAGGACCACAGGGCAGTGCGCAGCCGGCCCTGTAGGATTGGCAGGGCCCGGGGAAGGCCAGCTCCTGGGTACCAGCCTTGGTTAACCCAGGGCAGCGCCCAAAGCCCGGGACCAGCCCAGGGGAGGGGAAGTGGATGGCCCAACGAATGCTGAGTCACCCTGGAGGCCGTGAGCCAGCGCCCTGAAAGCGTGCTCCGCGGCCTGGAGAGGTTGAGTCCGAGCGTCCGCGTTGGCAGGAGCGCTGGGCTGTGGCTGTGTGCTCCACAGCCCTGCGCCTTAGCCACGAGCGTCACCGACTCATACCCCGGGGTGTGCAAGAGCTGGCCACGTGGCCGCTTCTCCTGGCTCGGGACCCGCTGGGGGTTGGGGCTGGGAAGGAACGTGCTCCCGTTTCAGTCTCACCCTCAGCTCTTCTGTGCCCTTTCTCTTTATTCCCTAATATGCCCGTCTCCCCTTAACACGGTTTTGCAGGTCATCAGGCTTGAATCTTAATGGACTCTTGTAGCTGCACGATGAAGTTTCAGCCCTTGGCCTGGCATTTAGGGGTCTACCTGGTGGGGCCCAACCATAAAAGCCTCAGGTACTGGGACAGCCCTGGTCTAAGGATTTGGTCCACTCCCAGGGCGAGTCTCCACTGCTGTTCTGGTGAGCCATCTCCTCCAACCGCCTCACGCTGTGTCCCCTCCTCTCCTTCCTTCCACTTCCTAAGTCCCTAAGCCTTCCCAGATGCCGGCCCCACCGTGGTCTCTCTTCAGTCGGCAAAAGTGGAGGGCAAAGAATAGGGACTTTGAGACTTTCTGAACTTAATCCAGAGTCATCTTCCTATAACTAGTCATGGTTCTTATTTAGCCATCCTTCTGTGATTCTAGCTGTATGCTCTTGTGTAAGACACACACCTCTTTGACCTTGTTTCTTCTTCTGTGACATCAGTCTCAGGCTCACTGGAGAAAAAGCGTGATGTCTTGAGGATCCGGAACTCATCATGTTGGTCCCACCCCCTTCTGCCCAAACCCCCTCTTATTCGATCACTCCTTTGGCACCCATGTATCTATATAATCATAATATATTAATATAATTATAATATTTATTATTATTTTATTATGCTTGTGTCCTGACTCCCACTGAATTGATCATACATTTTTCATTCATTCTTTGTAAGAATTTTTGATGGAGGGTCTCTTATATTCCACACGTTGTGCTAGGCACTAGGGATTCAAAGAGAAAAGCACTGTTCCTAACAGGAAACCTTGTCTTCCACTTCAATTTGCTTGTAGAGTTACCATAAATAGTTTTTAGGGACAGGCAGAGTAAAAATAAAATATTTCTCCACCGGAGTGCCTGGGTGGCTCAGTCGTTAAGCGTCTGCCTTTGGCTCAGGTCATGATCCCAGGGTCCTGGGATCGAGCCCCACATCAGGCTCTCTGCTCTGCGGGAAGCCTGCTTCTCCCTCTCCCACTCTCCCTGCTTGTGTTCCCTCTCTCGCTGTGTCTCTCTCTGTCAAATAAATAAATAAAATCTTTAAAAAAAAAAAATTTCTCCACCTAGTGATATGCTAATAGGTGCCAAATAAATATTTGTTGAGTCCTTAGCTTTGGAGTTTTAGATGAAAAGTGCGAAATGCCCTCATGATATCCTTATTGTTTTATTTCCAAGCTTAATACATACCAGGTGTGACCAAATAGGAAAATCTGGACCTTCAAAACAGAAATGCTAGGAAATGATGGCTCATGGCCTGGAAGGATTTGCCCCCGGCTTCCTGTAAAAGCCATCAGCCTCATATGGCTCCGTGTGCATGCCTCTGTGTGTGTGTGTGTGTGTGTGTGTGTGTTTTCCCTTGTGTGCTACAAGAGAAGCACGGGATGCAGAGTCCTCGCTAGCCCCCTTGACCGCCTCCCCATCTCCCCGACCTCTTCCTGCTCCAGTACATCCAACTGCTGGTAGCTAGCAGCCACACATCACCCTTTCTCTCCTCCTTCGTAGCTTGGCTTTTGCTGGCCCTATGATCTTCCCTCACTTTGCCTTCCTCTTCCCTTCCTACCGCAGCCTCTGCCAGCCCCCCCCCCCATGCTAGGCTAGGGCCCCTTCTCAGAGCACAGAGTATCCTGGGCCTTTCTGACAAAAGGCACCACGGTGGGCGTGTGCTTTCTTCATTGTGGTAAAACCTGTGTAATAAACAATTGGCCATTTTGGTCCCTTTTAAGTGTACACCTCGGGGGTATTAAGGAATTACATTGTTGTTGTTGCTGCACCACCGCCTGTTTCTACAACATTTTTGTCATCCCAAACTGAAACTGTACCCATTTGCCTTAGTCTTCGAGGGAAGCCATAGCAAAATACCCCAGGCTGGGGGTATTACGTGACAGATATTTATTTTCTCCCAGTTCTGCAGGATGAAGTCTAAGATCCAAGGGTTGTCGGGGTTGGTGTCTGGGGAGGACTTTCTCCTGGTTTGCAGTCGGCTCCTTCTGTGTCCTCACATGGTCTTTTCTGTGTTCATGTGGTGGGGGGGGCGGGGGGAGAGGAGGGCGAGGGAGAAGGAGGGAGAGCGCGAGCAGGGGTAGGAGGGGAGAGCAAGCTTTGGGATCTCTTCCTCTTTTTTTTGTCTCCTCCTAGTCTTAAAAGGACACCAGTCTTGTCAGATTAGGGCCCACCCTATGACCTCATTTAACCTTAATTATCCCCCTAAAGGCCCCATCCCTAAAAGAGTCTCGTTGGGGATAAGAATTTGGGGAGAGGAGACATAATTCCGTCCATAACACCATTCAAGAATAACTCCCCATTCTGCGCTCCCCCAGCCCCTACCACACACGATTCTGCTTTCTGCACTATCATTTTGACAACTTCTATATAAGAGGAATCATGCAGTATCTGTCCTTTTGTGACTGGCTTATTCAAAGAGTATCATGTCCTCAAGGTTATCCATGTTATAGCCTATGTCAGAATTTCCTTCATTTTAAGGTCAAATAATATTCCATTGTATGTATGTAACCATATTTTGTTTACCCATTCATCTGCCAATGAAACCATTGTGTTTTACAGGGTCTGTGTTCGTCTCTGCCCTGAGGTTGGAAACTTTGCCTGATACTTCTCTGCATCCGTGTGTCAGACACAGTTGTTGTCTCAATAAATGTTGAATGAATGAGTCAATCAATGAACATACCCTCAAAGTTAGGCAAACTCCTCTGGCACTACTTCCATTTTCAGATGAATAACCTGGAGTCGGAAAGGTAAAGGGACTTTCCATTATACTTGATTGCCTTTCTTATCTTACTGGTAATTATACTGAGTAGAAATCATCCTGCTTTGTCCAGACCTCATGTCCTATTCTAGACATCAATCATAGAGTTTCATTTCTATGAGGGTGGCTCAACCACCAGGGAGAGAGATCATGTAGCTTTTAGATGAGGCAGAGGCAAAGCCAGTGATATCCTGGGCCTGCAGATGAGCAAGCAGTCAAAGCCTGGACTCCATTATGGTGCAAGATCCTAAATCAGTGGTTCTCAACCAAGGGTAATTTTGCTCCCCGAGGGACATTCGGCAATGTCTAGAGACATTATTGATTGCCGTAACTGTGGGGTAGGTACCACTGGCATTTAGTAGGTAGAGGCTAGGGATGCTGCTAACATCCTACAATGCACAGGCCATCCGCCCTCCCCAATAAAGAATTATCTACCCCAAATGTCAATAATGCATAGATCAAAAAAACCTTTTCCCAAAAGGAGTCATCAGGAACTAAGTAGTCTCAGCATCGGGGAAACAAATAGAAGGGACTGGGGGCCTTTGAAGAGAAACAGATGGGCAGACCTCTGAGGGGCCACAGCAGGCTGACTAATAGTCAAAGGCTCCTAGCCGGTCGTGAATGACTTACTAACAGGGTGGACCTAATGCTTTGGTGAGTCTCGGAGCTCAGGGGCTTTTGGGGGGCAAAGAGTGGCAAAATGGGTAAGTACCTCCTCCAGCTTCCTGTGATATTCTGTATGTGTTGCCTTCAGAGATGATATATAAAAATGATATACATAGACTATGCCAAAACATAGACACGGGTGTGCAAAATAATGCTGAATAGGAAAAAAAATCAGGATGTAAAGTGCCATGTGTGTGTTAATACATCTATGTTCAAATATATATTAAGGTACATAGGGAAAGATAAGGAAAGTTTGTAATAATAGAGTCCATATTCAGTCGTGATCTTTGTAAAATTTTTACTTTAAAAATTTATTATATATACACTTAGAATTTCAAAAATCTGGAGTGTGGCCCTTCTTTCAGATGAATAGGTGCCATTCATTGGGCTCTTACACTCTCCCAAACACGGTGCTAGGCACTTTGTAGACATCATATTAAACCCTAAATAACCCAATAAGGCAGGCAGTATTGTGCCTATTTTTCAGATGAGAAACCTGAATTTGGTGATTATGTAATTGATCAAGGTCACAAAACAGCAAACATTGGGCTGGGATGTTCACCAACTGCCCTGTGCCTGTATCAGGGCTTGTGGAATATGCCATGCTACCTGTGGGATTTGGTGGTCTAACACTGTGGCCAGTTTTATCAACAGGTAATATGCAGTTCCAGTATGCCTCACTAACTCTCCTTGCAATTTGGCAGCCATACAAATAGTTGGTATTTTCTCTAGACTTCTGTGGTCATGAACCTTTAGATTTTAACTTCATGTGATACAGTGGTTTGTCATTAATGCATTGATATTATGACCTGTATTGGGTATCAATCATTTCACAAAACCAAAAGGAATTATAAATCTCCACAAAACAGAAGTAGTTGAAGGTGTCTCCCCAAAACATGATCTAGTCTTAACCATAAATCATTCAAATTGTCTATTGCCATACCGTAGAAATAGTTTAAAATTTGTCAGAGAATAAGATTTTATTCTTCATTTTTTTTAAGATTTTATTTATTTATTTGAAAGAGAGAGTGAGAGAGAGAGCACAAGTAGGGGGAGGGGCAGAGGGAGAGGAAGAAGCAGACTCCCTGCTGAGAAGGGGGCCTGACACAAAGCTCAGTCCTGGGACTCCAGGATCATGACCTGAGCCAAAGGCAGACGCTCAATCAACTGAGCCACCCAGGCACCCCCTTTTCTCATTTTTCATTGAAGACCTAATATTTCAGCGTTTTGAAATGTAAACAACACAATGCTGTTATTTTATGGGACTCTGATCATAAAGTTAGGGTTCAAAGGTTATGTGTTTGCTGTGACAGACTGTGGGACCAGGCAATGTGCCTTCCTGTGAGGCTAGTGAACACACAGAGATTCCATTTGCTCTGTGGTTATTGTCTTGGGTCAGGGTGCCCTGGAGCAGAGCCTGAGGCAGGGATTTGGTGCACAGTATTTATCATGAGAATGTTCTCCAGGAAGAACTATAGGGATGTGAGGGAAGCAGACTAGGGGAGGGCTAGGGAGCAGGGATGTGACTCCCTTCCACAGTGGAGACCTCTGGAACATAAACTTCACCCCAGCCTTGTCTTCCACTTAGGCAAGGGAGCCAGCCTTTTATACTTTCCCCTGACAGTCAGTCTTTAGTGTAGGCTGACCACCCCCTGCAGTTGGGGATGTAACCTCCCCAGCAACGGGCCACCCCTGAACCCAGAGCAATTAGTAGCCAAACTCCCTGGGAGAGGGGTGGGAAAATGAGAGTCAGGGGCAGTGAGTGCACTGAACCAAGGAAGAGGATAATCGTGGGAGTACCAAGAACATCTACCAAAATTCTTTTTCCTCTCTCTAAGATCAAGCTTTTCTAAAGAACATTATTATAAAAGATTAATGTATAAAGCAAGAATTAAACAAAACCACAGGCAAGTACACTTAGATAATTTTCTCACTAAACTTTCACTGTTATAATTGTTTTTATCTTATTACTGCTCATAAATCTTAATGAGAATATATTTTTGTAGCTTATCTCAACATGAAACCCAAATTCATGTATAAGACCCAGGGCTTCAAGGATCTGGAGACCTCACTCCATTTTAATAACTGCTGCCTTGAACTTCCTTAGCCAGAAGAACTAGATTGGCCTGGTCTGGCTCCTTGTACCCAGTGTTGTTCAGGATCTTTGTCACTCAACCCACACTCTCGTTTTCTTGGCACAGAGAAGACATTGCAAGGGTTGGAGTTAGCATCTCTTCCTTAGCACCCTGGTCTAGTTTTTCTGACAGATACAGTGAAAGAAAGAGCTTAGTCCCATCAGGCTTCCCTAGCCAGCAGGGAGAGTCCCCCAGCTGTCTTCATCAATCAGAAGAAGCTTCCCCCACACCCAACCATCTCTTCATCTTTACCTTTCATGTTCTATTCAGTGGAGAAAATCATCCTTCTTGGCCTCTTGCCTCTGACCATACTAGTAAGGCTCTGGTAAGAGCCAAAATTTACCTATGACGATCCCCATAACAACAGTTTCTTTCCTGACACTAGTGTTTTCAGTTAACTATTGTTACAGAAATCTCAGTTTCTACCGGAACATTACTTTTTAAAACACATTTAAATAGAATTTGACAAGGGTTTTATAGAGAGCAATAAAGCAGTTTCACCTCAGTGATTCGTAAATATCTAGATGTGGTTTATGATTATGGTCCTTAATTTACCCCATAATCATCATCATCATCCTAACGATATGATGAATGACACAGAGGTCGGTGTGAAGATTTATATATTTAAGATGTAAAAACATTTAGAGAAAATGATACCATGTGAAGAATCTTCACGGATAAAGATTTGAAGAGTGAATTGGCGTATCAAGACCTGAATGATAAGTTTGTAATGGGTTTCTCTATTTCCTACTTGTGCTACCATGTGAAAATGCTGCTGCCATATTTTTATCTACTGATAAAAGTGACAGAGCACTTTTCGTCAAGTAGTGAGTCTCCATCATCTGTTCTGCTGTAGGGCCATCTGCAAATTCCATTTGGACAACATCACCATCTATCACATCGTAACTTAGAATGTACCAATCAGAGATAGCTTGTGGCTGAACTGCTGGCAACGACAGAGATCGACCAGGCTGCCCAGCAGAAGGAAACTTCTATGCTCTCAGACACTCATTTTGTGGACCACTTCACTCATTTGCACCACCTGTAGTTACTGCTGCCAAGGCTGCCCCTGGAAGAAGCCATGAAATGAAGAGTGGCCAAGGGGTTGATTTCATGGTTAGTAAGCAAGGGTATGAGCTAATGTGCATCCACTACATAAAGGATGGCCCTCTAAATCCTGAAATCCTTTGCATATGCATGTGGAGATCATCAATAAAATTCCTACAGATGGACAGTGAATGTGGTTTAGGGAAAAGCAAGAGGCATTTTATAAGGTCAAGAGCCTGCCAGCCAAGGACACTGGATTCCTGTTGGAACTCTAATCAGTTTCTCTCCAAAGCCAATATTCATGCTTGCCTGATACTTGCTTCTAACCAAACAGGAGGGTAATTCTCCTGTTGGGGTCCCGAAAGCTTGACAACATGCCTTGTCTGGCAGCGGGGGAAAGGAGAGCCTCCCTCTGGTTGGAAATCCTCTTTGGGAGCATTGGGTAATGGCAGGGAGAGGTCCTTCCCTCTGGTGATTGAGAAATGAGCACAGGGATGAAATCCAGGATCCTGGGCTGGGAAATCTCCATAGCAACACGTTCCTGCTCTAACCTTTCTTGGTCCAAAATTTCCAAACCAGACCTTTCTACAGAACTGTGAGGTGGGAGGATGTGCTTATTACTAAGAGAGAGTCTTGGCCTCTTCTCTCTCTTCAAATCCCACCACGTACCCCACAGATGTATAAGCATGCACCAGATGTCCACATGCACGCATATACCCATAGATCTTAAAGGAGAAATTCCTTCCATGCTTCTGACTCTCAGGTCAGATATCTTTATCCCAAGAGACCTCATGTGATGAGAAAAGAGAATTAACAGAGTCTTTACTTGTAAATACAGTAGCTATTTCAAAAGGAAAACAGGAAAGTAATTTCTTCCCAAAATGATGACTCTGGATCTGCTGGAGGAGGAGAGTTCATCTCTGTGTTTGCCCTATGCCTAGCTGCATGGACAGTGAACCCTGGAAACCAACCAAGACAAGCCAAACAACCCTTGCTAAGCTGCTGGAAGGTGCTAGTAGCAGGGTGGTCTTGAACCACATTGTGAAGATATAAAACCTGCGATATCCATGGAGTGGGAGAGTCCAGTCAACCAAAGGGACAAACCTGGGCAAAAATGGGGAGAAGAGCGCAGCTGGCAATTCCACAAGTCATCAGCAGATAGAGGAATGTCTAGATTGCTCGGTCTCGGACTTAGCATGAACCAGAAACATCTGGAAGATTTGTTCCCTGAATCCTAGCATCACTTGGGGACTTGCTAGAGCCCCAAATCTTGACACCAACAAGTAACCTCCAGACCCCATCTGGTGGAGCCTCCTAATCAGACTCTGATAGTTGACTTTTACACAAGTAGACTGCTCTATGAGCACATCTTATTCTCAAAGCACTCTGGAATATTTGGTGAGTGTTGATGCTTCTACTCTGCTAAGGAGGAAACAGATCCACAGTGGGTCATTGGCTCACCTAAGGTCACCCAGCACATTAGCAGGAGTTCCAGAATTGAACCCAAAGCTCCTGAGTCATGGCCCAGTGACAAACCCCATTTCACCATGTGGCTATAAAAAGATCCATCTCTGGAGAGAGCCTCCTCCGAGGTTTGCTGAGATAAGCCAAGTTCAGGGTGCTGTGCATGTGCCTTAACTGGGCAGTGAGCCACCAGCCACCTGACAGGAGGAGTGACTGTCCAGAGGAGAGGAAAGAGGGGAATGCCTCAAGGAGGAGGTGTAAAAGGAAGCCTTTTGCCTTGGATAGCTGAAGGTCAGATCAAGACATGACACAGCTACTCTGTGAGAAAAATCTTTTTTTCAATTGCACAAATATTTATAACATTTGCCAGTTCTCTTGGTGTAAATATGAGGCCACTGGACACAGAACTGAGAAGACGTGTGCACAATCAGCTCCAGCCAGCCACTGCCCCAACCTCACCTCCCACTCCCCATCTTTAGGCAAGGACCATCAATTTGTACTAATGGTGAATTTTCCATCCAGAGCTAATCATGTGTGATGCCCATCCCAAATAAGTAAGGATTCTAATGCCATTGTGGACAAAGTGGGTATGAGTATTATCTTTGTCAAGTTATGTTTGGAAATAAACACAGCCTTACCATTACAACATCTGCTCCACAGTTTAAAGGTCAAGGGCATACACTGCCTGGCTTTTAATCCTTGTTTTGTTACTTACTAGTTCTGTAACCTTAGGCATTTACTTAATTTCTCTGTGCCTTAGTTTCCCCATCTAACTAAAGGGAATAATAATAATAATACAGATCCCATCGGTGGTTATGAGTCTTAAACTATCTAGAAGATAGAAAGCCCTTAAAATAGTGGCTGGTAAAAGTAAGCCCCCAATAAATGTCACATATCATCACTATTTGTTGATAGATGAAAGGTACTTCTGTGAACACATGGGGAAGGTAAGGGAAGTTGCACTTAGATCATTCTCAGGTATAGTGAGGATCAGGAAAACACATAAAGAATGATAGACTCTCTGAAAAAGGGTGTTGAGGACTTTTAGTCCAAGCTCCCACACAATGAGGAAATCCCTTCTGCTACACCAATTTCTTTTTTATCTAATTTAAATTCAAATAGCCAATGTAGTACATCGTTAGTTTTTGATAATAATGTTCAATGATTCATTAGTTGCTACACCAGTTTCCACTGGAACATCTCCAATGACAGGATTTCCTTCTGAAGGTTACTTCTTCCATTGTTAGCTTTGCCCCCAATTCTGAATCAAAAGCAACCTCCATGTGCCCTCCTTAATACCCTGTGATGAGCACTGGGTGTTACACGTAAATAATGAATCATTGAACACTACATCAAAAACTAATGATGTACTCAAAAGGAATGAGATCTTGCCATTTGCAACGACGTGGATGGAACTGGAGGGTATTATGTTGAGTGAAATAAGTCAAACAGAGAAAGACATGTATCATATGATCTCATTGATATGAGGAATTCTTAATTGCAGGAAACAAACTGAGTGTTGTTGGAGTGGGGGGTGGGGTGGGAGGGATGGGGTGACTGGGTGATAGACACTGGGGAGGGTACGTGCTCTGTTAAGCGCTGTGAATTGTGCAGGACTGTTGAATCTCAGATCTGTACCTCTGAGACAAATAATGCAAGATATGTTAAGAAAAAAAAAAGAAGAAGAAGAAGGTAGCGGGAGGGGAGGAATGAAGCGGGGGAAATCGGAGGGGTGGACGAACCATGAGAGAAGATGGACTCTGAAAAACAAACTGAGGGTTCTAGAGGGGAGGGGGGTGGGAGGATGGGTTGGTCTGGTGGTGGGTGTTGAGGAGGGCACGTTCTGCATGGAGCACTGGGTGTTGTGCACGAACAATGAATCATGGAACACTTCATCTAGAACTAATGATGTAATGTATGGGGATTAACATAAGAATAAAAAAAAAACAAAAAAAAACTAATGATGTACTATACAGTGGCTAACTGAACATAATAAAAATAAATAAATAAATAAATAAATATCATTTTTTTTAAAAAGTGCAAAAAACAAAAACAAAACAAAACAAAAAAGCGACCTCCAGGAATGTACAGTTCATTGCTTCTAGTTGGTCCGGCTGGAACTACATGGAAAAGTTTGATCCCTCCTTTCCCTAAGGAGAAATAAGTTCAAATTTCTGGATTACCACCAGCAGTAACCAACTCTGTGAACCAGCTCTAAATGCAAGCTGTGTTAGTTCACAGAGTTGAGTGACTGAAACCTAGCTCTCTGACGATCTCAGTGCTCAAAACCACTGGACAACTCCTCAGGCCCCGTGGGTCAGGTACAATCACGTTCCCATTCTGGGTGACCCATTCTGTTCACCATTGGGAGTTGCCCAGAGAGGGTTAAATGGCACAGTTCAGCTTAAATGTCACCCTTTGGTTTGGGGAACAGAGGACACTTTGATTAAGAGTCCCACTGGGACTGCACACAGTGAGAATGAAGTAGATCTCAAAAAACAAAAACTTAAACCATAATAGTAAGGTGGTGGGAGGGTGATGTCTTTTAAAATGACCCTTCAAACCCCGACCCATGCAAGGTACTTCTTCCACAGGCTAAATACTTTAAATATCTTCTGTAGAGAATAGTAGAGAGCATTCATGATGAGTTTGGCTCAGGCACTAAACTGGGCTCGATTCCTTGGATCCCCCACTTATCATCGGTGTGACTTGAGACAAGTCATTAGCTTCTGAGGTCAGTGTCCTCAACCGTGATCATAGCACAGACCTCAGAGTTGTTGGGAAAATGAAATGAGTGTACCACAGTAGAGTTTGGTGCCCAGTAAGTACTCACAAATCATTAGTATTGTGATGACCATTCTACTCTGGTACAATTGTGCTTTTGCTAACATAGTAGAGGGCATTTCTTTATAAAAAGCAACATCATCGGGCGCCTGGGTGGCTCAGTTGGTTAAGCGACTGCCTTCGGCTCAGGTCATGATCCTGGAGTCCCTGGATCGAGTCCCGCATCGGGCTCCCTGCTCGGCAGGGAGCCTTCTTCTGCCTCTGACCCTCCCCCCTCTCATGTGCTCTCTCTCTCTCATTCTCTCTGTCTCAAATAAATAAATAAAATCTTTTAAAAAAAAAAAAGCAACATCATAAGTTATTACTAAACATTATTTAATTATATTATGTAGATATAGCAACACTATGGACTGATTTGAAAAGAATTACAAATGCCAAGACAGTCTGGTAATTTATTATGTTTTAATTGTTACTGAATGCTTTTTAATATAACCCTCCTTTTTCTTTCCAGGTCTAAGTAGTAAATAGTTTCTACTAATTCTGAAATTTTCAGAATTATTATAGCAATACTCTTTCCCTTACTGATCCTCCCCACCCCCACTCCCCCAGCCATAAAAAACCCCAAAGTTATTTCACCTGGGTTATTGGGTCAATATATATTTAAATCATTACAAAATATGAAAAGCTTAAAATCAAACAGATGACTATCTTAGCAACAGAAGGATGCGATAGAAGGATCCTTTGGCAAAATACACCAAGTACCAGTATGCTGTAGTCTTTAGTGAACAAGACAGACACTGAGATCCTGTCCTCATGGAGCTTACATTCTCTTCATACTTACGCAGTACCTCTGCCCTACACTTAACTACATTATACTACAAATATATGTACATATATATTTTACCCTGCTGCTCCTCGGTTCTTCCAGATGCTTTACCTCATTCATTTCTATTTCTGATGCCTGGAGTATACAAGGTGTTCAATAACATTTTGTATTAACAAATAAACAAATGAATGCTAGAAGGAATGGAGGAACCCATGGATTTACTATATTCCTTGCTTCCAACATGCAATGTCAGATTTTCTAAAATAAAATTTTCCTTTATGGATGAACCATTAAAGGTGGTGCTGAAGTATTGAGAAATCCACTCCTGGTTGTCTTTCCTTCTGAAAGGAGGCCGAGAATGGAGCAACACTGGGCTCCAGGATGAGAGCCTGCGTGAATCGTCAACTATGGGCTGTTTCTCTATTGAGAATATGCTACCAAGGGACACCACTGATAGCAACATGACCTGTGAATACAACTGGGCTCAACGTCTGCTTCCAGGAAACCAGCAGCCAGTCACTCCTCCCCAAACACTTGAGTTTGAGAAATGCAACATT